AGGAAGCTTCAACTTCAACTTCAATAGCTACACTAGGAGGTAGTACTAATAGTGCTAACAAGTTGAATGCGAACTCTAAAGTCTATGTAACGACTAATCAGGAGGTGGAAGGACGTAGTGATGTGACGAGAGGTTTGGTGACTATAAATTCCATTCATGCCTATGTTATATTTGATTGTGGTGCTTGCCATTCATTTATTTCTATGAAATTTGCACGAATGTTGGATGCTAATTCTACTCATTTGGATGACCCATAGCTATTTGGATTAAGAGACTGCCTATGTACATATTCTAACTTGGAAAGGGCATGAGTATCCTTATAATTTACTTGTATATTAAGTACAACTTGTCAATTCATGACATTTTTTTATCTTTTCAAATTTTTTATAGTTTCAAAAAAAATTATTGAAAAGTTTAACCTACTTACTGAAGTTCATTTTTCAAATTGGCTCTAGATTTTATGACACCCAATTTAAATAGTCTGGTAGATATCCTTCGTAGTATAGTGTACTTCTATACTTATAGAATGTACTCATTCATATTTTTAAGAATTGAAAATCAGAACTACCATAAATCTCACTATCATTTTTGTACATCTTTTCACTAATAAAGTACACTACAGATATTAATTTTATTATTTGAAGATATAGACTATAAATATCGATATGTAGACCAACATCCTAATAAAGGCATAAGAGTTCTTAATCTAGTGGTTAAGGTTGAAATTTCAGAATTTAGATATCTTAGATTCAAATCCCCTTTGCCTTTTTTCCACCTCTTAAATCCCACACCTCTTCTGCTTTTTTCTTTTAAATCACACTAAAAGAATTGTTTAAGTATGCATTCTGCATTGGTTTGAATTACAAGATTGTCTATATACATTTGCCATTTGAAATGGGCATAAAAATCCTATGATTTACTTGTATATTATGAAATTCAAATCATAATATTTTATCTTTTTTAAATTTTTATGGTTTCAAAAATAATTATTGGAAGGCCTACCTTAATTAATGAATTTTACTTTTTCAAATCGACCCTAAATTTTAGGAAAAATCTGGTATACATCATCCATAACAGGGCTGTACCTTTATATTTAAATAGAATGTACTCATCATACTTGACCACATTTAGAACCAGAAGTATGTATATTGTACACCTTATCGGTTTTGAAGTATACCATTTTATTTATAATTTACCTTATTTAATGAATTTCATTTCTTCAAATTGGCTCCAAATTTCAGGACATCCAATTAAAATAGAATGGTGTATATCATCCATAAATTGGTACACTTCTATACTTACATAATGCACTCATCCATATTTCTAGCCATTGGATATAACAACTTCCATGAACCTAACAATCATTTTTCTATTGAAATACACATTTTCACTAATAAAGTATGCCTTGATTGCGCATATCATTTTCTTAATTCCTAATATATACTGAAATTTTGAACTATGACCTAACATCCTAATAAAATGTATGCTTAAGTATGCACTATTTGCCCATTTAGATTAAGAGATTGTTTATGTATATACATTTACTAGGAATTAGCATAAATATCATTATTATTACTTATATATTTATTACGCCTTGTCAAATCATGATGTCTTAACTTTCAAAATATTTATAATTCTATAAAAATTATAATAAAATTTACCTTACTTAGTACATTTCACTTCTTCAATTGGCTCCAAATTTAATACCACGCCAATAAAATAGTTTAGTGTATGTCATCTACAACAAGGTGTACTTCTATACCTGTAGAATGTACTCATCCATGCGTCCAGCCATTGGATATAGCAAATACCACAAGCCTCAAATATTATTGGGTTAATCACATTTAATCCCCTTAAGGTATACCCTATTTTTCAGTTTACCCCGTAACCTTTAATTTTGCTCACTTAACTCCCTACAGGACAAAATTGCCCTTGCATTATTTTGACTTTTCATTTATCTTGTTTTCCTTTCTTTTATTTCTTTTTCTCTTTCTTCTTTATTTAATTCTTCCTCTTTCCCACAAAAATCTTCACCTTAATGATTGAAATTAAAAAAGAGGAATTACAGAGATCTATCTTCTCCTTAAATGATTAAAAAAATATTCAAATCACTTTCCTAATATACGATTTTTTTAGCCTTTCAATTCTTTTAATTTTGGGTTTTCCTCTTTCCTTTCTAGTTTCTCATTTTATTCCCAAGAAAAAATCTTAAGATGAAATTGTGACCTGATTAATAATCATCAATTGAAATTTGTGACACGTGGCATCATACAAAAAATCAAAATTAGTTTTTGATGCCTTTTAAACCTTCACCCAGAAATATGCAATTACAAACTCAAAACAAAAATTTTAGTTGAAATGGAATTTTCTATTGGGAAGGATGAAAGAGAGAAGAAAGAGAAAAAGGAATAAAGAAAGGAAAACAATTTCATCTTATGATATTTTCTTGAGAATAAAATGAGAAACTAGAAAGGAAAGAGGAAAACCCAAAATTAAAAGAATTGAAAGGCTAAAAAATTATATTTTAGGAAAGTGATTCGAATATTTTTTTTAATCATTTAAGGAGAAAATAGATCTTTGCAATTCTTCTTTTTTAATTTCAATCATTAAGGTGAAGATTTTTGTGGGAAAGAGGAAGAATTAAATAAAGTAGAAAGAGAAAAAGAAATAAAAGAAAGGAAAACAAGGTAAATAAAAAGTCAAAATAATGCAAGGGCAATTTTGTCCTATAGGGGGTTAAGTGACCAAAATTAAAGGTTAGGGGGTAAACTGAGAAATGGGGTATACCTTAAGGAGATTAAATGTGATTAACCCAATATTATTTTTCTATTGTAATGTGCACAATGTAATCGTGCATTAACAATAGGGTTAATCACATTTTATCCCCTTAAAGAATATCCCATTTCTCAGTTTACCCCCTAACATTTAATTTTGCTCACTTAACCTCCTTTAGGACAAAATTGCCCTTGCATTATTTTGACTTTTCATTTACCTTGTTTTCCTTTTTTTTATTTCTTTTTCTCTTTTTTCTTTATTTAATTCTTTCTCTTTCCCACAAAAATTTTCACCTTAATGATTGAAATTAAAAAAGAGAAATTGCAGAGATCTATCTTCTCCTTAAATAATTAAAAAAATATTCAAATCACTTTCCTAAAATACAATTTTTTTAGTCTTTCAATTCTTTTAATTTTGGATTTTCCTCTTTCCTTTCTAGTTTCTCATTTTATTCTCAAGAAAATATCATAAGATGAAATTGTTTTCCTTTCTTTTATTTCTTTTTCTCTTTCATCCTTCCCAATAGAAATTTCATTTCAACGAAAATTTTTGTTTTGAGTTTGTAATTGCATATTTCTGGATGAAGATTTAAAAGGAATCAAAAACTAATTTTGATTTTTTGTATGATGCAACGTGTCACAAATTTCAATTGATGATTATTAATCAGGTCACAATTTCATCTTAAGATATTTTCTTAGGAATAAAATGAGAAACTAGAAAGGAAAGAAGAAAATTCAAATTTAAAAGAATTGAAAGGATAAAAAAATTGTATTTTAGGAAAGTGATTTGAATATTTTTTTTAATCATTTAAGAAGAAGATAGATCTCTGCAATTTCTCTTTTTTAATTTCAATCATTAAGGTGAAGATTTTTGTGGAAAAGAGGAAGAATTAAATAAAGAAAAAAGAGAAAAAGAAATAAAAGAAAGGAAAACAAGATAAATGAAAAGTCAAAATAATGCAAGGGCAATTTTGTCCTAAAGGGGGTTAAGTGAGCAAAATTAAAGGTTAGGGGGTAAACTGAGAAATGTGGTATTCTTTAAGGGGATAAAATGTGATTAACCCTTAACAATATTATGTCACAATTTATGCATTATAGTTTGAATTATAAATAGGGTTAATCGCACTTTATCCCATTTAAGTATAGGTCGTTTCTCACTTTACCCCCCCAACGTTTGTTTTTCCTCAGTTTACCCCTTCCGTCAGCAATTGCACCGTTAAAAACTTTAAGATTTCGAATTTACCGTACGAAAAGGGCCGTTGGTTTTAGCAGACAACAATGCCCCTCAATGGTGTCTGATGCTTTTAACCTACCTTTTCCCTCAAAGAGCCGTTGGTTGGTTGGTTTTAGCCGTTGGTTGGGTTTTACAAAAGGAGGTATTTTGCACCCAATTTTTCTCATACATTCTCAAAGGTTCCAAAGTTTCTAAAATTTCTCTCCAAAGTTCCTAAAATTTCTCTTTGTCAACCAAAAGCATCATAAAATGTCACAAAGTGCGTCAAATGATGTTGGAAGATCACCCCAAAAAATGTGTGGATGTGGTAAAGAGGCACCATTGTGCACGTCTTGGACACTTGAAAATCCGGGAAGAAGATTTTACGGCTGCTCAAATTACAATGTAAGAATTTTTCATTAATAATTTGTTAATATTGTCTTTAATTTTGCTCTATACCTGAATTAGTTAGAAAGAGTTTAAACAACTAATTATTTTTTTAATTTAGAACCGACACGTATGTGGGCACTTTGAATGGGTAGATCCTGAAGTATGTAGCCAAACAAAAGAAGTAAGTGTAGTGCTGCAATCTAGATTGCTGGAGCAAAAGGAGAAACTAATGTACTTGCAAAGGAAGCATGAAAAATTGGCAAATGAGCATGAGAAATTGAAAAGCAGATATGAAGCCTTAAAAACAGAAGTCTGCGTCTTACAAGTTGAAAACCAACAGCTACAGCAACAATACATGATGGTCAAAGCTGCTCGATTTTCATCATGGAGAAAAACACTAGCCATTACATTTCTGATTGCTAGCATTTTGTATATGTACTCTATTTCAGAACCAAAAAGTAACAAAAATCTGCTTTATCTACCATAGTTGTAAGCAAATATGTATGAAAGAAAATTATATTAAGTTAAAAGTATTTTACACATCAGATTACATCTTAGCATGTGTCTGCATGGCCACCCAAACAAAGGCCATTTTAGTAGAACCCAGCCAAAATATGATTCTAGAACATGTCCAAATAATGGGAAAAGAAAAACAACATCAGCATTTCTAACATTGCTGCAAAGGTAACTTCAAATACTAGTAATGACAAAAATAGCAACAGCAACACCATTTCACATCAAAACACATTCAGGTGTGCGCATAACTGTTGAACGTCCAGTTGCAGCAGTTGAAGATCCTTGGGTAGAAAACACAGCATCTCCAAATCTAATACTCTTGGTTTGAACCTACATGGATGAGGGGCATCTTAGTGCATCAAACTACTACTAGGGGTGGTAGCATGTAAACATAGCCAAAAGACTTGAACTCACCATTCCAGTTTTAGTAGCACCTGAATTGGTTTTAGAACTTCCAGTTTTAGCATCACCCAACTTGGTTCTTGGTCTTTTAGTTGTTACTGAAGTGGTTGCTTTTGAACTTGTACATGGTACGCTGGTGGGAGCAACAACAGTAGTTGAACTCAAATTGGCACCAGATGTAGGTGTTCTTGTCCACTATATCATCAATAGGAAACAATAAGTGAGCACGTATAAAATGGCCATGCATGCAGAGTTTTAAAATGTAGGCTCACCAGTTGGGTTGGAGGGGGCTGGCCAGTCTTTGAAGTACTTGGAATCTGCATAATAAAGGTAGTTTTTAATCATTGCAAGTGTCTAAAATTAAATTAGTTACATACAAATACAAAAGGAACTCACCATGCTAGACTCAAATGGGATATATGTTTTACTTGTTGATATCCCTTGACCATTCCAAAGTCCAATGCCACATAGTGGCCCATTGTTATGGTCTGAACCCCTACCCTTACCCCTGCCCCTACCTCTACCTCTCATTTTAGCTCTAGTTGGGCCTCTTGCAGTTGTAGATTTAGTCACATCAGCATTTTGCACAACATCAGCATCAGTATTTCTTTCAACATCAGCATCAGCATTTGTAGAGTGGCCTCTACCAGCTCCTCTCCCTCATTTAGTAGGCCCTTGCATCTTGCAATACATCAAAAAATGACAGTCAGATGTAGATAGAAAAAAGCCAAGCAACATATATTGATTGAAGTTACCTGTGCAGTCACTGATTTTCTTTGCCTCACAAATGAACAACCAGTGACCTTGCAACTTCTGGCATTGTGGTCAGTATGACCACAATGACTGCAGTGAATTGGCAGCCCTACTTTAGATAGTTTTCCAACATGTAAGTCCTCCAATTGAGCCTTTTTTCTAACTTTCTTAGGCCTGCCTGGAGCTATCTTCCTACGAGGTGGGAGTAATGTATCACTGCTAGCATTCACCCAATTTGTTTGGTCTGGCATAGGCATAATAACACCAGCATATGCCTTTACATATATTTCTACTGAGTAGCAATTATCAACATATGCATATGGATCTTTGTTGTCTTGCACAAGTCCAGCACATGCATGGACACATGGAATTCCTGTCATATCCCACTCATTACATGTGCAAGACCTTTGAACTGCATTAACAGCAAAAGTTCCTACTATACCAGTCACCTCATACACCTCTCTTGTAGACACAAGTGCATCAAACTGAGCTACCTGTTTTTTCCTCTCTTCAATTTTCTGACAGATCCTCGGACAAATATGAGACTTCACCTTCTGAATCCAGTCTCTTTTTTCTTGAAATCTGCACATAATCTGTCTTCGAATGGCCTCAAACATAGTCAAAATAGGCTCTTCCCTAGCATCCTTAATGTATTGATTGAAGCTCTCACATATATTATTACTTAAAAGGTCACATTTTGTCCTTGGAGAAAAGGTGTGTCTGGCCCATAGGTTAGCTGGTATGGAACTAAACCATGCATGTGCTTCTGGGGCTACTAAATGTAACTCTCTCATTTTGCTTTCATAATGACAGGGTAAATAAGCCCTGGCTGCCCCCCACATTAAATCTCTTAGGTGCTTATCCTTGAATTTCAGTTTGAAATTAGCATACATGTGTCTAACACAGAATCGATGCTCCACTCCAGGATACTTATTCTCAATGCAATCAATTAATCCCTGACATAAAAACATAAATAACAGAATTAGTGAAAGGAGTGAGTGAGGAATAATGGAAAGTAAATCAGATTGTAGTGGTGCTGACCTTTTGTCTATCTGATAGAAACACCCAACCCCTTTCAATTGGAGTGCCAATGGCATCAGTAAGGCTGTCCAAAAACCACCCCCAACTATCTTTGCATTCAGATTCAACAAGTGCCATAGCAATTGGGAACATCTGGTTATTAGCATCCCTACCAATTGCAGACATAAGCTGTCCTCCCATGATCCCCTTAAGGTGACATGCATCCAGTCCTATTACAGGCCTACATGCATTTACAAAACCTTCTTTTTGTGCAGTAAACATCACAAACATTCTCTTGAAGATTGGACTTTTACAAATATTGGACTTTTCAGTTACAATAAATGCCACTGAACCTGGATTTCTTTGTAAAAGTGTAGCACAATAGTCTCTTAATCTTGCACCCTTTCACTGCTTCCTCTGCTTTCTCTCTTGCTCTATACATTTGAGAGTTTGTACAGTTCAGGTTATACTTCCTTTTTATGCTCTTCTTGAACCCTTTTACTTTCATATCCGGATGGTCAGCAATGTCCTCCATAAACATCCTAGACAGCCACCTAGAATTTGCACTCTTGTTCTTGAAAGACCATGGACATCTATGAGGTACGCCTTTAATGGACTTCACTTGAAGTGTAACTTTGCTTCCATTATAGCCACTAGCATATATTCTCCATCCACATTTATTTGAACATATAACCACAGCTTTATCTTTGTCATTCTTAGTGAAGGTAACTTCAAACCCATTCAAAATTGAATACATTCTAACTGCAGCTCTAAAATCATAAATATTGCTAAAAATTCTGCCTACAGTCAATTCAGGATTTTTTAGATCCCTTTCCATGTTAAACTCAGGAAATTCATGCTCCATGCCTTCATCATTTGAATCATAAACTGGTTTAAGTATTTCATCATCACTAACATCTTCATCATCGACCAGTTTTCCATGACCTTTGGAGTTAAGGTATGCATTATATTCTTCACTAATCAGTGCCACATACTTAGCATAATCAGTCTGTTTTAGGTGACAATCTACTTTACCACCATCCCTCTCTACATCATCTATAGGGTCACATGCATCATTTAAATCATCCCCATCTAGGAAAAAATCAAAGTCAGAGTCATATTCAACTTCCCTACAACCATCCCTATCACCTTCCTGTGAAGCATCTGAAGCATCACTTTCGGCCTCATCATTTTGGGGTTGATCAGCATTAGGATTTAGATTTTGTTTACCATTAACCTCAATATTATCCTCTGCAACAGTTCTATCAGCATGCAAATCTTCTTCAGGGATCTCACCAACATAAAGTTGTATGATGTTTTGAGTTCTATTTGCCTCAAACATTTCTATAACAATCTGGTCACTGTTTAACAGTTTAAGACCAACCTTAAAGTCAAGCTTCCTAACCCTATAGTACACCTCTGTTTCATGTGATATTCCAGCATCTTTAAAAGCATCTCTTAACTCAAAAATTGACATCAAATCAGGGTCAACATAATCAAAATTAGCAACTTCTCCCCCCACATACTGTAAATTTGGGACATAGGCAAAATGGCCTCCATAGTGAACCTCTAAAACATAGGTTTTGAAGTCCATTCTTCTGTAATCACACAAAGGTAATTGTTTTTAGTGCATGCACAGGTAATACAGAGCAAGTATCTTTTATTGTCCCACAAAAATAAAAAATCCTAGTTTGTCTATCTAACAGCCAACATATAACCATCCAAATAAACAAAAAATCCAGCAAATTAATAATTAAAAAAGACAAACCCATCATTTTCCATCCTAACCCGACAATGACTTGTTATGAACTTTAAGGGACCACACTAACAGATTTCAAACAAATAATTGTCTACATATTAAAGCCCATGCAGTCATTAAAAAAACCCATACCATTGTTTCTGTGCAATAAAATTGATTAACAATTAGAAATTTCTAAAATCGAGAAAAAATTGCAAAATCGAACCTCATAGATCTGCCCAAGCTCTCATAATCTCCTTTCACAATCTTCAAATTCAATTCTGCCGTCTGTTAACAACCACATCGATTACCCATTTTTTCATTCAAGATTGCACCAGAATTTTCAATTTTGTTAGTGGAGGTTTTGCTAAGGTTTCGGGCACCAGTGAAGAGAAAGTAACCCGACAAAGAAAAAAAGGAAGAGAAAGTGACCCGACATAGTCAAAAGGGGACCTTTGTCTGTTCTGTTCCCTAATTTCTTTTTCTTTTTCTGTCCTATGCCATATGGAGGGAAATTTCCCTCCATTATTTCAGGGTAATTTTGGAAACTTGCATTTCATAAACCAGCGTATATGGGTATTTTGGGTTGTTCAATGTTTTGATAAGGATATTATTGTCTTTTCAATATTCTGTTTAGGTCTATTAGAGGTGACCGTTAGTTTTTGGGGTAAACTGCGGAAAAACAAACGTTGGGGGGTAAAGTGAGAAACGGCCTATACTTAAATGGGATAAAGTGCGATTAACCCTTATAAATAAACACAATGCATTCTGTATCCATTTAGATTTATTTTTCTACTATAATGTGCACAATGCAATTGTGCACTAACAATATTATTTCACAATTTACACATTACAGCTTGAATTATAAATCAACACGATGCATTCTGTATCCATTTAGAGTTAGAGATTATGCATGTCCAGGTATATAGACATGTATACATTCACATACGCACACACACATATATATCTATATATATATAGACATTAATTTCACTTCTATTGACTTTTTTATCCATATGAATGTATAAAAATATCCATTGTGTTTATGTTGATTGTAAAATTATGAATAAGGTTGGTTCTAAATTATGTATATCTACACTACAGAAGTAATGGTGTACACCTTCTTGTACATTGAGTACAAAAATTATATTAGTAAATACAAGTGTCTGATAACTACATCAATGGTTTACACTCGTGATGATTTGGGGATTTCATTTGGAATTGGCATTATATTTGAAGATTTTTTATTTTTGTGGTTTAGCAATTTGCCTCAACAACAATATAGTTCATTAATAAAATTCCAAAGAGAACCACTAACTTGAATTCATGGCTTCACACATTATAAGCAGGATGTATTTTGTTTTCGTTATGATAAATTTGGTGAATTGTAATATAAGTCATCGACAATAATGGTTATAATTATGTATTGGTGCACTTTGGTTGCTATAAGTACACTTTTTTGTACACTAAGTATGACACATTGAATTATAATGTGCACAACAATATCTTTTGGACTAATTTACTTATATGACTAATATGGAGTACTTTTGTTAATACACTTAGCACAATGCACTGTATTAGCATATACGCATGCATTAAACAATTGATCACACATAACTATGATCTTAGGGACTTGATTGAGGAACTATGATGAGACTAAGTAATTGAACTCCTTTGGACTTTAAAAATGAGATGTTGCAATTCTCAATGTGTGTAGTGAAGAAGTCAAATATGTAGCATATTACATAAGATTATGAGTGAATTGTTTAACAATATTTGTGCACGTTTTTATTAACTTCACACCGTGTACAACTTTGTTTTGATGAACTATGCCAACTTTCTAATTACATTTACATGCCTAAGGCACCAGTCAAGAGGAAAAACACCATACAAAGTAACCTTGGTAAATAATGGATGCATTCAAACAAAGTTAGAGTATACATTTACAATTTTAATGTGTATACCTTTATAGCGTAAAAGTCAAATGGTTCAAATGTACATTGGACCCTTGATATTGAAAACCATCAAATGATGCATGTGCATAATGTCCCCACAATTTGAATAGTCAAAAGTGCCAAATGATTCATCTACAAATGTGGTTAGATACAATGAGAAAAAAAAATATCATTGCTATTTCTAGAAGCAACAAAAAGCAACACGAAATTAATTTCACATAGTAATCTTTGCTCCCAAGGAAATAGAGAACTAAATTAATATCATCAAATATCTGACTAAAGAAGAATCAATAGAGTAAATCTTGTAAATGCAAACAATATAGACACTATCATAATTAAATGAATGCCACATAAGTGAAATTTACATTTAAAATTTAAATTCAGCGTATATGACATTCATTCAAACGCAATAGTGTATATACTGTCAATGTATAGATAATTAATTCAAATTAATATCACCAAATTCTTCCATCCTTTTATGGTCTTTTCTTTTGTTCCGACCATATGGGATGTGAATTTGATAGATTTAATTTTCTCTTTCTTAGTTTATTCCACTTCCAGGAAAAGCCATTAATAACGCCATAAAAATTTTAGCAACTAACAAACCATTTAAGAAAGTTGAGCTCTAACTACAATTCTTGCAAGGTAAGAACAAAATAATATAAAGTACAACCACTACAATATTCCCTGAGATTTCCCAAGCCTTCCAAAATAGAGGAATAGACAAGCATCCTTTCTATTGTAGTAAAATACTTGACATTTGAGGAAAATAATGACAAGCATTAGTAGATAAATTAAAACTAAGAACTCAAGAGACTTCCAAGCAATATCTAAATATTGTAAATGACCAACTAATCAATTCAAATAGCTCTCTAAAAATTACAATCTTAATAAGAAAAAATAAAAATTTTCCTAGCCCATATAAACACAAAAGTTAACTCAGTCATAGTGACCCATAATTCACTCATATGAGGATAGTTTTCATGCACAAATTAAAGTTTAGAGCAAATAAAACCATCTTTACATAACAGCACCAGTAAGTCATCAGCACCCACCAACAGAACACAATTATCTTTTATACAAATACGTCCAATTGAAGTTTAGAGCAGAAAAGAAAGAAAAAAATACTACTATTTGGCCCTAAAAATTTTGTAATGTTGTTATTAGAGAATTTAAATAAATATAGGGATTCCACCAAGTTTCACGAGCAAGTTTAAAGTAATAGAAGTTCTCATCATTTTGAATAAAAAGTTGAAAAGTTTGAGGCTTTTGTTGTTTTGTGCATAACCTTAACTTTGGTTTGTCATTTTAATAACTGTTGCAAGGGAGCGTCTATTTGGGGAGAGGGGCTAGTGCGGTTTATTTCCTATCGTTTGGAAAAAAAAAAAAAAAAAAACCTAATGCAGTTGGAGTCGGGTACGGTTTGGTATGACTATTATACCTTTTATATTATTTAGTGCACAATGACATTACATTATTATATTTGAAGTAAAAGTGGTGTACGTGAATAAAATATTTGACACATATTTAGTACAATATTATGATGTATTTGTACACAAAAAATGTAAATATGTACAACGACCGGACATAATTGCACAAAATACAATTGTACTGAGTCCTTGTCCGTTTGGACATTCTAATATACGCCTTCTGCATATAGCTATTACTTATTTTTAGTTTT